ATACACACTGAGACTCACCAACGGCATTTTGATGACTGTATTTTACGATATTAAGTAGGGCTCAAACGGTCACGGTTTTATCCCTAACGGTTAACTGCTAAGCTAACGGTCGGTTTAACGGTTATAACCTATAAGCCACGGCAATCTTGCGGACTCTTTTTTAACCGTATATTTGACTATACTCATTCAAAAAATGTACCTTGTTCAGTACAATGCACACATGTACATTCACTTGCATGCTCATTCATACATACTCTCACACCAAGAGACCAGATATGACCGAGTTGACAGCCCAGAAATTGCGTACGCGTGCGACAGCCTGCGAAAGTGCATACTTTGCAACGACCTGATACTAGAAAAATTGACTGAAAAGTTACTGAGTAACTGTTAATTCTTCGTAACCAGTCTGCAACCGGTTAATCGGACTAACCGTTTGAGCCCTAATATTAATTAAGGTATCATCAGTGAAGGTTAAGAATATTGAATGAATGCCTCCTTTGTTATGCAGAGCTCACTGACTTGTCAGTTTGAGCACTCTGGCAAGGTACGTTCGGGCCTGGTTTACAAATGGCTTTGGAAAATTTTATTTTCATTGCTATCAGGTTTGGCCTTGTTTTCTCTGTGCTGCGCTGATGAGTCCACAAAGGATGAAACAGTTCTGTCTCCAGAATAAATGAATGCCTTCATATCTATTCGTTAGCCTGAGGGAATGGAAAAGGGAAAAGTCTGAAGAAAAAATTGACTGTCACCACCAGGACTCAAACCAGAGGCCTTCGCTTGAGGCCAGCGATGCTCTAACCACTGAGCTATGGTGCAGCTGTCATCAGTCCAAGCAGAGACCGTTCAACATTTTCTCCAGACTGCGAGAATAGATGCATAGAATTGTTTAGCAGCACTATTTCCTGGCACAAGGAAAACATGGATGCCGTGAATGGGATTTTCGGTCTTTGACCGCTTGCTGGTGAGCTGATCTACTCGCCTCCCACCGCTTTAGGAGCTGCATCTGCGCCTTGATCCTTGAAGGGTGGTGGCGTTCCTATGGATGCGGAAAACTCGGCATCTAGCCGAGTCTGACGCGAACCGCGAATTTTTTCCTTCTTTTTTTCCCAGAGAATAACCGTGAACACAAAAAAAAGCGCGACTCCGCGCTTTGATGTGACAGTCGTGCTAAGTGCTAGCACACGGTGAAGAGGTGCAAGATAGCAGCGCTACGTGCCATGAGTGCATGAGTGCAGTACAATGTACAGACAAAGTAGAAGACCAGACTCGGCATGCTGCATGGATTGTGCACATTTCCATTCCGCATCGGCACGTACTGTAAAAGCAGAAATTTTCGGTGGTGTAATATTTTCGGTATTCGCCAAAATCGGCGGTTCGGTAGCGGGAAATTTTTGGTAAACCCGTTCTCCAGGTAGGTGTACGTGTACTACATGTATACAGTATCGGTTGTTCCGAAAATGTCGGTGCGTTTTATTTTCGGTAAAAATTGTCGGCACCGAAGTTACCGAAAATAAAACACCACCGAAAATTTCTGCTTTTACAGTAGTAGAGAGGTTAAAACGCACGTTATTTCCGACGTGGCGCGAAAGTTCAGCTCGCGTTATTTGGCTCGCACGTCGAAAAACAACGCGAGTGACCTGCAGCTCACGTCGGAATTTGGAGTTTTACGCCAAATTTGACGTGAAATGGTGCGTCACGTCGGAAATAACGTGCATCTTAGCCTCTCTATTGTGTCGGTTCAACCTCGTATTTCGTTGTATACGCAGAAGTCGCTTGACATACAGAAATGTGACAGGGGGCGGAAATTGGAGAGGGAGCCATTGGCCTTTATACAGGAGCTCGAAATGAGGTGTATGAGAGAAAGTTAAAAAATATGTTCTTCGCATTCTTGGAAGGTGCTGCTGGGTTCAAACCCGAGGCCGTGCGGTCCTTGCCCAGGGCACTGGCAAAAACTACTCGGCCAGAGCCCCCCCCCCCCCCCCCCCCTCTGGATATTCGTCCTGAATGGGCACAGGTCCTAGTTACGGAATGTGCAGTAACTTGATCGTGAACAGCTGTGACTGACTAGGGTGTTCTTCTGAATGAGGATACAGTAAAGCCTGTAACTAAAGACCACCGTGACTAGCGAACGGCCTGGTACTACAGACCACTTTGCCAGGCACGGACGGTCTCACATTCATAATAAGGTTGTGAGGTGCAAACCTCTAGCTAAGGACCACCTGCCACTAATGACCGCTTTCTCTGGCCCCAACGGGTGGTCGTTAGTCACAGGTTTTACTGTAACATCCTTTGCAGAGAGGGTTCCTGTGAGCCAGGTGCAACTGTACGCATGACTTACAGCTGCCTGAGCAAGGTTAGCCGAAAGAAGTGGTAGGAAGGCAGGCGCTCGATCTGATTGTCTCCCAGCACTCTGTACCGAACACAACATAACAACAGCATGCGGCAGTGAGGGTGCTTGTGCAGACCAGGCAAGCTACACCATACACACTGACACCATACACACTGACATCATACACACTGGCATCATACACACTGACACCATACACACTGACATCATACACACTGACATCATACACACTGACATCATACGCACTGACATCATACACACTGACATCATACACACTGACACCATACACACTGACATCATACACACTGACATCATACACACTGACATCATACACAGCAGCAGCGGATTCAGCGATCTCCACTGGGGGTTCAGTATAGTCAAAAACTAATAATATAGCTGTTATATGTACATGGGCATGCATATCTTTGCCAGTAGCACATTTACGAAATTTAGGGGGTTCTGCATTTAGGGGGTTCTGCAGAACCCCCGGAACCCCTCCTGGATCCTCCCCTGCTTACAGACAGCAGCACAAACAGTCCACCACACGCATCCCTGCACGGAACCACAACACCTACACAACTGGCATCCCTTCACTGAAGCACAACACGCACAACTGGCAGCGCTGGCAAATTGGAACGAACACTATTGCAATGCAAATGCATGATTTTATCATCAATGCATCATTTTTCAATTTCCGAGTTCTGTGCATCTGACTCATGACATCATGTACGCTCTGTGCTTCTCTCTCATCTGTGACCGGTTGCCCTGGTTCACCCGGGCTCTATTCGCCTGGTTTGTCTGGGTCATAATCTGTGTAATGGCTCACTCGTCTACCAGGGCCCTACAATTCATTCATAGGAACTGAACAGTCCCGCTGGCTTTCGAAAGTCCGATTTGGACCGAATTGAGGATCAAAAACCCACTTTAAAAATCATATGACATAAATCAGGTACATGTTCATGTAATTGTTGTTGGCTGAGAGCATGAAATTTATCTAATACCGTGTGCATGCATGTGCAGGATGTCCGGCGCCAGACAGGTGTGCCGGCATAGTGCTACATTGTCTCGTCACTGGCACAAACAGCCGTGGCGGCAGAACACCACACGTATGGAATACCTCGGAAGTGACAAAGTGCCACTGTATCAACCAACCCTAGCCAGATTAAGTACTTTACTTTCAATTGTACGTGTCACAAGTTCTCACAACCATTAGATTTTAAACATCTGATACTGTGATTTTACACTCATTAGTTTAGGGAGTTGAAAGGTAGACTCGGATGGAGAGCCAATACTTTTTTTAAATTATTTATAGTAAAGAAAAAAGACCAAGGAACTACGAGTTACGCTATAATGTCCACTAGCACCACCACGGCACCAGTCTTGATAAAAACAGCTCCTGCGATAACATTGTCGCCACGCATGACTGTCCGTGCATGCAGATGCATGCAGTGCAAATCCTGTTGTAGTCTGTGTCCATAGACTAGGTCACACAGCATGCAAATGATTATGTCATAGATGATGATGTCATAGATGATGATGTCATAGATGATGATGTCATAGTGGTGAACTAGCGGAACCGCTTATGGGAGCTAAGTATACACGGTGAGTCAGCGAAACCGCATATGCAGGCTAAATCAGTATGCAGTGCTGTCGGGTGTATGAGGAGGGAGGGGGGGGGGGGGGGGGTGGTCAGCCTCCTACAGTACAGGGGCGTCGGAAGGTATTCGACATTGGTGCGGCCGAGAGATCACTACATAAAGCCCGTGCTCTCGGCGCACAGATTGCATAAGCCTACTCAAGCTCAACTGATGAGGGATGAATCAGTGTCTGCTCCAGCGCCGGGTGAGCCGGGTAATCCACCCGGTTGGGCGGCGCTTGGACCCAGTTGAAAATATAGCACCGGGTCACCTGTGACCCGGTTGGTACTTTACACTGTCGAACTTTGAAAGGACTGACTACATGACTTGTATGTGTCAGATACTTCTTCTTCTTTCGTAATTTTCTAATTCCTGTCCTCTCTTTCGAAATGCGGCTTATCCATTCGCCTTTATATCATTGGGCCTAGTTCCCGTTTATTGTCCGAATTAAAATACCGTATTATCTCTAATATAAGCACGGTCCTTTATTTTTTCAATGTACCTTCTCCCCGTGCTATTACAGTAAATATCGGATATAACGTGCCCCTTTGATTTTCGAAAATTTATCACTATATCCGGTGCATCACTATAGCCGATTTGCATGTTTGACCGACACATGGCACATGACTGCACATGAAATGATGCGTACACGCTGGAAAAAGCATGCTGAAAGTGCATGCATGCTCCGCGGACTGTGTGAGAGGCAACACAGCCAGAAACAGACAAGAGCATGCAGAAAGATACAGAAAAGGACAAGACCATACAAAGGGAGCGAGGGGTAGCGCAGCCAGAAAAGGACATGTGCATACAGAAACGGACAAGAGCATACAAAGGGAGCACATTGCGAGGGGTAGCACAGCCAGAAACGGACATGTGTGTGCAGGTAAAATAATGGGTTGGTGCAAAAAGAGATCATGAGTACATCGAGTGACATTCGTGACCACAGCATACAGGGACACCTGTCTAAAATTGAGAATTTTCTCACGTCTGCTGCCAGATGCAACCAGGCAACACTGGATCAGTTTTGGAAGAAGTGAACTTTATTGAAAAAACAATTGTTTTGTGATCATCACTCTTGATCATTATATGCGATATTTTCCTGTACATTTGATATGGTTTGCTTCCTGAAGTCCATCACAATAAGCGATATATCGGTATAGCCGATAATAGTGTATATAGTGATATTTTAGCTGTATTTTTTCTGATTTGATTTTGATTTTGACGTGTTCTATCACTATAACCGGTATATCATTATATCCGGTCACTTTATAAACGATACTTACTGTATTGGAGACGTTCCTTTATTGGAGACTGTTCCATTATTATTTCAACCTCATTTCAGAGGCATGTTGCCATGCCAAATTCATGTCAGACACACACATTTCAGGGTTTTTTTCGCCGGTACAGATAACTAATTTACACAGTGTGCTTATAATGGAGACTGAGCACTTTAATTTTTGAATGCCGCCCCAAGGTGTTCTATTATTGGAGACTGTGCTTATATTAGAGATAATACGGTAAACCAACCAACCAGGTACATGTGTACCCGGCTCCGACCCAGTTGAAATGGTTGCGCCAGGTACACGTGTACCCGGCTGTGCTACAATCCTAGAGCAGACACTGTGGATGCCCCGAAATACTGCGTATTGAGCAGGAAGTGGTGCTTTTTGCAGCCAATGCAGGTTACTGGTAGGCTGAGTGAAAGGTTCGATGGGAAGCGAAGGCAGGGAGAGTTCCTACGTTTGGAGTAAAGTCACTTTCTTCACATTTTGTTGTTGAAATGTACCGCATCACTCAAAACATTCTACATGGACACGGTATACTCACACAATGGATGTGTTTCTGTATCCGTCGAATATCACAGGCGGGACGGTTGTGAAACCCTGTCCGATGCAGACCACCGTCACGGACGACGTGCCATTGCAAGTGCAGAACTCCTGGCACGGCTGTGCGCGCGCTACGAGGACGGCACGCGAACAGCACCACACGACCACCACCACTAGCGACACCAGCCAAACACGGGCAAACGGTGCTGTGGAGCAGCTCCGCCGCCGCCGCAGCACACCTTCCATGGCCAACGGACCAGGCCAAGCAACGGCACCTCTACGTGCTCTAGACGACGATGCTACGCAAAGTTTGCACCCGGCGACGAATTTATTATTCTCTAATGGTCTTAGTTTCGCTTGGCCTTCGCGGTGAAGCCTATCTCAGACTCATGCCCTTCGCCAATCAACATTGTCCGCTGTCATTGCTATCAAGGTCAGGAGACCAAAGGAATAGCTAGCACTGCTACCCGCGCTGGAAATACAAATAATTCATCTGGTTTTCTTTGTGCTGTCGTCGTGTCGAACAGGACTTCATACAAACGCCATTCCGCGCACGGCGGACATGCACCGCGAGCGAGCGCAGTGTCCGATTCAAGACAGATCATGGCTACATAACAGACAGGTAGGCAAGTGGTCTGACACCTGGGGCCGTCATCGTTTGCGGCCACAGCATCTTGATTGCAGACAACGAACAATGGACAGCAGGAGCAGAACTGAGACATGTCCCTCATCATCACAATCATGTAGCATAGGTCTACATACTCCACATGCACATACTCAACCGACGCGACCCGTCCCTGGAATGGCGTTCATCATGTCATAATGCCTCAATTTGACAATAATACAATACTAGGCGAAATAAGCGATAATTAGGACTACGGATACCATGGATACTAACGCCAGTAACGGGTACGGGTCGCTCTTCAAAATCTGGACAGACAGTTCTGAGTTCCGCATACATCTAGACATGACATAATAATAATAATTATTATTATTATTATTAAAATCTGGTCTGCACAATCAGTCATACACCTCTTGCCGGCCGTCTTGGCTTGTCTCGCCAAAGCCTAAAATAGACTTGTGTAAAAGAGCACAAAAGGCGGGTAATCTGAACAGGAAACTCTTCCAAACTCCCGGATCCCGGACATGACTCAGAAACGTCTCATGACTGTTGTCGCCATTTCAGAACTCTGGAGGCACATGAAGCGCCTTAGGCCTAGGTTTGTGGTGCAATGGCGGCCATGATAGCGGTCATGATGCCGCTACCTCGAACAGTCTTCCACTCACTCTTCTCTCTCCTTTCGTGCTTCAATATCAGCTCCGATTCCGTTCTAGACGCTCCGCCCACTGTCGTCCTAAAATTACGCTCTGGAGGCACATGAAGCGCCTTAGGCCTAGGTTTGTGGTGCAATGGCGGCCATGATAGCGGTCATGATGCTGCTACCTCGAACAATCTTCCACTCACTCTTCTCTCTCCTTTCGTGCTTCAATATCAGCTCCGATTCCGTTCTAGACGCTCCGCCCACTGTCGTCCTAAAATTAGGCTCGGCGAAAATGGACGACAGCGCCACACGAAATGGCTCGCAGCAAGCAAGCAAGCAAGCAAACGTCACTCTTCTTCCCCGAATTTTTCAGGAACGTAATATGGCAAACAAACAGCAACAACCAGCATGCAAGAAACGTAGGGATCATAATTATGATTCTTGCATGCTGGTTGTTGCTGTTTGTTTGCCATCTTTTACACACCGCTCAGTCACAAGAGGTAGGATGTTTGCTTTGAATTCATATCTGGGGTGGGTTTGCCAGAGGCTGAGTGGAATATTATTGAAGAGATGAAGGGAAGCATGGAGGGGGGGGGGGGGGGTGTCTCTCAGCCGGCTTTGTGGGTGTTGCGGGTACAGTAAAACCTGTAACTAAAGACCACCGTGACCAGCGACCAGCCTGGTACTACAGACCACCGTGACCAGCGACCAGCCTGTAACTAAAGACCACCGTGACTAGCGACCAGCCTGGATCTAGGCACGAACGGTCTCACATTATGGTTATGCGGTGCAAACCTCTAACTAAGGACCACCTGCCACTAAAGACCGCTTCTCTGGCCCCAAGGGATGGTCGTTAGTCACAGGGTTCACTGAAGCTCGAAGTTTCGATGGAACATGAACATGGATTTGCGAATGGGCTGGCCACAAGGTTGGCTGCAAGTAGGCCCGACGGCTAATGCTCGAGAATTTGATAGTAGTAGTAGTAGTCGTAGTAGAATTTATTATTTTACTAGGGAACTCCCAACATGATGGATTCTGCTTTTTCAATATCTTCGCATTCTGCTCCAAAATAGCACTGATAATGCTTGAATTCTGCTTCGAAAAAATGGAAATAGTAAACTTCAAATAGTGGTATAGTCTATAATAAATGTTGCAGACAGAGAGAGAGAGAGAGAGAGA